AAATGGATCTTTGGCTTGATTAAAAACCCCGTTGTTCTTTTTTTTTTTTTTTTTTGCTTGCATTCCGCATGCGTTCTGATTGTTCGTTTGTCCCCTGCAGGTATAGCTTTTGCGTTCCACCCAAGCTGGATCTGCGTGTTCGGCCCAAACTCGGCGAGAGGGAGGTGACGTTGTGTCACGTGACCGAGTGGATTGAAAAGAAACTACAGGATGAGTTCCAGGTAAAGAAATACAACCCGCCACAATGCGCACTTTTACATTCCTCTTAACTCTGCTGTCCTTCCCATTCTAGAAAGTGTTTGTGCTGCCAAACATGGATGACATCTACTTACCCATGATGCACTCCAGCGTGGATAACCCCCACATGTCGGAGCATCCGTCCTCTCGCGATTGCCAGTCCCAGAGCTCCACTGAGTCCATGGAGCGTATCCCACCGGCGGTGACATAAACGGAATCGGACTCCGGTTAAATGACATGTTGACGTTTGCCATGCTCCGAATTGAAGGAGAGCTAAGAAAAATGCACTTCCAAAGAGATCGTTATCACTGTATTCCCATCAATGAATGTCATTCATGATTAATAAGAACAAATCATGAAAGATACTTTGAGGCCCCTTCACGTGAATCAGAACCCATGAAGTATTGCTCTCAGTTTCAAAAATGTTGCTGACTGCTGAGTCTCTTTTGTGTTTAAAAAAAAAAAAGGATTGTAAATGATACTTTGGGCAAAATATCTACGTCCCTCTGAGATTATTTGCTTCTTTTATTATTGGCAGATGCTGATTGTAAAAAAATAAAATAAAATAAAACACGACGCTTCATTCATGTATTCTATTCTTTTGTTTCATTTTTCGAAAAAGCCCATGCATTGACAGGAAACCCGTGCCTGTTCCAGCTGATTTGGGGCAAGAGGTAGGCCTACAGTAACAGGCACACCCGATACCTTGTTGTGGCTGGTGGCTATCACCAAACAAATTGAATACATTTTATGAGCTACAAATGTTGTTGTTGTTGTTACTTTTGTTGTTGTGTTGGCTATTGGCTGTAAGCAATCGTCTTACTGAAACTCTTTTGGCTGTAAATTTGTTCCAGATAAAAGCAAAGAAAGCAATAACCTAAGACGTCAAAGCCTGAGTGCTTTTGCTCTTGTGTCACTTTTCACAGTCGCTTGCAACAATCAATTCAAGTCAAGGGAACAAATTACAATTAGTCCATTCATCAAGCAGACAAAAATAGATGCTAGTATGTGAAAGTAATCGCAGCAATCTTGAGCACTCCCTTTCCCGAAAAAATTTCAAATAAATCATCTCGTGGTCATGACAAATCTCAAAACACGTGCAGACTCTAACCCAATAAAGAAATTAGGATGACTTGGCCTTGAAAGATGTCTGCATGTTTTTGTTTTTTTTGTTTTTAAACACAACACAAATGTGTACGGCCCGCGCCACCGTTTTAATGACACCGGTTGTTTGGATGGTATGTTTATTGCTTGAAGTGTTGTTTCTGCAACACACCTTATCTTGAGACAACGGCGGTAATCTTGTGTGTCACAAAGTGATAAATGGACCTTCTTACGGGTAGTCTGTTTACATTACTGTGCACACACGCACAAAGACTAATGTTTACAAAAAAAAAATGGGGGAAGTAATCTAACCAGATGACCTTCCCATCAGTCTCACGTTTTTTCTTTTTTTTTTTTTTTTTGGTCAACCATTCACTCGTTTCCTTGTCTTTGTCTGTAAATACAATCAATCCTTTCTTGGCTGGTGACAGCTTCCTCCCAGCGCAAACATAAATGCAACAAAAAATGCCTATTGTGTCTGCAAAACACTTGCGTTTCTCTTCTTCATATTATTTTGGCAAAACCCAATAATGCAGTTTGAGCAACATAATTGCCTTTCTGGTAACTTCTAAAATGGCGCAATAAACGAGTGGCCTTGGTAAGATAACTTCAAAAGATGCTCCACGTTCTTTGACAGCAGGGAAAGCCCAGCGGAAGCAGACGCGTGCTGGGAATTAGTGTGCAGGCGTTGCCGAAGGTCATTTCAATTATCGCTTGAGGCTACTTATTGCATCAGTTTAAAAACATTTTGAGCAGCATGTCATCTGTTCCTTCATTTTGTGTCGCAGTTGTGGACTATTTGGCATCTTCAGTAAACCTAACATGCACAATCAGTGCAGCACTTTTCTTTGTCGCTCTTTGCCGATGATAAAGAATATATGGCTGGGTGCTGTTTTCATTGCCTGTCTCCATGTATGGCTGCCATTTCTGTTCAAACGATTGCTTAAATGTTGAAATCACACCGAAAGTAAATACTATTTCATGTTAGCATGAAGCTAGCAGACCGAAAGTCGAAGCTATGTGGTTGTTTTAAAAACACAAAGTGTAATTCTCTTTGATTTGTGTTTAGTTTGACAGTAAGCTTCAACTGGGAGTGGCAGTTAACCCTTTCATGCACCCTGTAACCTGATAACATGATAAGCTGTCCACTGTAGTAACCGCTGTCCCTGAAATGGTGAAACAGTTTGAAACGTTTTTTTTTAAGAGTTGTTCAGTTCTTTTCCCCAGAGTGCTGCTGCAAACCAGTGCTATGTTTTTCCAGCTTCTTGCCCTTCGTCGGCCGAGCTGGGATAGGCTGCAGCTCACCGCATTCCATTCAGCTAATTGTTCAGGGCTGTTAAAGTGCAATAACCAGCCGTTCTTGTAAAGAAGCCAAAGTTGTCACCAAGCCAAAAGGAGAGTAATGATCGCTAATCTCGCTTGACACTTGATGCATTCTATACTCAAAATTCAACTCGTTATTTATTTTCTTTTGCAAGGTGTTGCACTGTGTTGATATTTAGCCTTTAAAAAGATGCTCGTTATCTATGTGGCCAAAAATGAAAAGGATGTACTAAAATATACACGGTTGTTTTTATTCCCATCATACAGATATGTTCGTCCACCAACACTGTTAATATGAAGAGACTCTCAAGCAGCTTCAGCATCATTATCACCATGTCTTTCATTCATCATCAACTTCAAGTGTACTGGAGGGGAACACATTTTATGTTTTATTCTTTTACTGTTAACACGTGAGTTGTGTGGATGACAAAAGTGGTCCAGATCCTGAAGTAGCCCTGTTTGACTGTAACCTTTTTCCAAACTAAGACGATTTTCTTTGTTTCTCATTTGTTCTCGAATTTCATTGGACCGTGGCATTGTGCGTTTCTTTTGGGGAACTTGTAGCATACTTCACTCTGAGGGACATTTTTCATGCGGTTTTCATTTCAACAAATCTGGTGTATCAGGCCTGCTTGGGGTGAGTGAAATCACTGTATAACCGTTCCAAATGTTAAAATCTTGCTAAAGTACTGTTAAAAATGTTTTATGATTAACCCTTTCATGCACCCTGTAACCTGATAACATGAAACATCGTTAAAATAGTTCAACCCTGGAACAGATTGTTGAATTATAGATATTTTTAAAATGTATTCTGAATTAAATGAATCACCTGAAACCATAACTTACTCCATACTAATCAAATTTAAAAGGATCCACTAAACTCCCCTCGGTGTTTAGAATGCAATTCTATAGTCCACACCTTGAATTAAAAGCCACTTGTCACTTTCAATAGTAGGGTAATAATAGAACTACTGTTCTTGTTAAACACGCAAACACAAAGCAACATTCTTGTATCCACTCATTCGGCCAGCCTTTGTTGTGAAGAAATGAGAGCTGGCACCAAACCAAAACAGAATCCATGATCGACGATCGTCGCATGATTGTCAAAACCAAATCGAGTAATTGAGGAAACAAATAAAATGACTGGCAACTCCCCCTTTAAGCTCGAGGGAGAAAGAAATTCCCTCACGAAGAATCCTACAATACTGATGAAGCGCCAGCTTCCAATCCATTCATTCCAAATACATTCATGACATAATATCCATCAGAAGAAAGACAACAAGTGTGGTGTAGAAAGTTTATCAAATAATCTTTATATCACAAAGGATGCAACTTACAACATTGATTGTTCTGCATGCTCGTAAAATGTAAAAACTGCCGCGACCATTCATTCATTTTTAATTAATGCTGTGCTTTCCGTGCGTTCAAAACAAATGATACAGATGAAAACGGGAAAGCAGAAAGGAAGAGAAAATATTTAAACCTCCTGAGATTCAACAATCCACGTCAACGTCTGGAGCAATGTGTTTGTTTCTACCAGCCCCGTCTAGTGCTTCATTGAAGCTACATTACACTTGCTTGTCATCGACTGACTGCAGAACCAGATTTCAAGTTCGATACACTTTATTCCCTCTCTTGTCCCGTTGTGCAATTCTGTCGTCACTTATTCTTTTTGGAGGAAATTAAAAAAAAAAAAAAAAAAAAAAGAAAGTGTGAATGCGAACTAGCGTGAGTAAATCATGAAGACTCCAATGTGTAGTATTTGGAATGTGTTCCTACAAGCGAGAGTGGATGGTTGAATCGGGCCATCTCTGGAGTTGGGTTTTGCTCTCCAGAGCAGCTTTGCGAGTCACGGAGGAGCACCGGTTAAGAATCTCCTCCTTCTTGGGTCTGGGTGGGACCGTCGGAGGAACCGGGCCTGTGTCGCTGCCTCTGGAACTGAAGCTCTCAGAACTCCCGGAACTCAGATAACTGGCGCTGGAGTTGCGACGTTCCTGGTGACTGCGCTCACTCGGGCTGACGCTCTGTTGAGGGAAGGGTACGAATGCGTCTGCGCTCGAAGTTGAAGACGAACTACTGACCGAGGAGACGCTGGTGTCTATGCTTGAGCTTGTGCTGATGCTGCGAACGCGGCTTTCTAAACGGGTGTCATTGACCTCGACCTGGGCAGGCACAGTTTGGGTCTCTGACAGAAGCTCCATAAATCTGGCTTTGGCCACATAGCCGCACCCGCTAGACTGAGCTCCGGGCTGGAGTGCAAAACTTTGACCAGGATGGGTTTCCCTGGCGAGCTCGGCTGGAGAACGAGCATCCAGAGGTAACCCGCTGATGGTCAGGTTGTGGGTGGATCTATTCAGTTTTTTCTGTAAACTTAAAAGTCCAGTACAAGGGTTGTTGTAGGGCTGCAGGTACATGGAGGGGACATAGCCCACCTTGTCGTTGAATCTGGAAGAAAAAAAAAAAATGTTGTTTTTGACCTTCTGTTGAATTTGCACTCAACACTTTATATCCTTACTGTTCATTTTCCTGCATCCTCAATTGTCTCAGATTTTCTCTTTAGAACTTACAGGCCTGGTGCACAGTCAATTAAAAGATGCGGCTTCCAGATTTGTATTTTGCATCGTAAACTTTAAAACATTGAAGAAGACTTTTTAAAGTTTGTTTTCCCTTTTTTTCAAGTTTTTGACAATTGCTAATTATCCCATGAGCACACGCGCTTGACAATTTGGCAGACTGGGTAATGCCACCACAACAGGAGTGTCTTGGGGATACGCCCGGCTAATTATAATTTAACTCGTTGTTTGCCGCACGTCACAGTGAGAAAACAAAGCAATGTTTTTGGACTTTGACCTTACAAACTTGTGATGACTCTTTTCTCTGCTTTTTGTTTTCCTCATCATTTGTACATTTTCGACCGGATCTCATTAGGTCATACAGAATAGGAAAAGGCTATTGTATTGTATTGCCCTTCAGTGTCGTCAAGCATGCACGCGGTCGCTGATTTAATCTGTTTGCACTTTTTAAAGTACAAAAGAGCAAAACCTGGATCGCGGGCACGCTGGAGCCTATCGCAGCTGTCTTTGGGCAGCAGGCGGGGTACACCCTGAACTGGTTGCCAGCCATTCGCAAGGCACACAGACAAACAACCATCCGCAATTACACTCACACCTAGGGACAATTTAGAGTGCCCGACCCTCAAAAAAACTGAAAAAAAAAAAGTTTGCCGTTGCTGACCCATTGTATGCTGCAATACCACTATTGACCACGCAATGGCAGACATCGCTCACCAGCGCCTCCAACCCCGAGACTGAGATTGCGAAGAAGAATGTGTCGTGGCCACCACAAAATCGAGATAAAAACTCCACAAACAATTATTTTCTTCTTCACTGCGATTACAGATTTTTTGAAATGCATGAGGATTGAATAAATGTGTCCTCTAAATAGCTGCATTCAACGCGTCATCGTGTTTCAGACGCGTATGGTGGCTTAATTGGTCAAACGGCTGTTGTGCTGCCTTCAGGACCAACTTGACTGTTCACACAGGTGAGTAAGTCGGCCTATTTGGGGATTTGAATTATATGCAGGAAAACATGCGGTCGTATAATTTTAAAATTCCCGAGGGTTCAGGAGTTTTGCGTCATCTTTGAATGGTGACTTTTATGCAAGAGACCACTTTTTTAAAAATCACAGTATGTGATTATGTGGTGTAGTTGAGCATTGGATCTTTTCCATGTGCATTTGAAATTTAAAATATATGAAGATACTCCTGTGTGCATTGGCTCATATCACATATTTTGGCCTTCTAAAGAATGAACATTTTGTCATCTGGTTAGGAATTGTGCGATCCAATGCAGGACCCCAGTAGCACTGATGAAAATTGTGGCAACTTCCATTATTTAAGTTGCCCATCCCGGGGCATGGCGTATAAGCAACCCCTCTGATTTAGTTCAAGAAATTACTTATTTATTTTTCCCCATAGTTAACCAGCAAATCTGTCTACCTCCCTGTGCAATACAACAATTAACGCCAAGTCAACACTTGGGTGTAGAACAGCAACAAAGTGTTCTGTTTTACAGCTGCCAATTACTGCAGTATGATGGGTACAACACAATAGGAATTGTTCTCAAAAGGCAAACATAGGTTACCTGGTGAGCCACCAGCCGTCATCGGACATCCTAAGCACCTCCACCACTGAACCAATGGGCACAGACACCTCGTCAGCCTTCTTGGTGAAGTAATTTCTCACGGCGCAGTAGAAAGCACCTTTATATGACAACGCAGACAAAACGGCCTTAGCAAAGTTGGCATGAATAAATTGTCTTTTATAGACTCTGAGCAAACTGTGTTTGGCTGAAGGACAACAAATTGATGCAATGCATCACTGCCAATCTTTTTGACACGTGGCATTTCACTAATTGCGCCGTTTCACTGTCCAAGTTGCACGTGTTGATTGTGACTCATTTCATTTTTTTTTCCCCATTAGTTTCATGCCCCAACGTCACCTTTTTGTTGGATTTTCAAGCTAATTTCACTTCAAAGAATGGATCACCTCTTCTAAAAGATAACATTTCAACTCGGCAGACAAATATCACACCTTGCTGCTGCAGTCCTCTCTCATCATCTTCCTCTTTTTCCAGATAGGGAGCAGGAAACCAGGCAATGCACTTGTCCTCATTCTCCACCAACCACCAACCTGATGGGGAGTAAACAGATCGTGAGAAAGGTAGGATCTGATGCCTTATCTCCACCAATGATTGAGAGATACTACCCCAAAATAACTAGAGGTTGTGAGAGATGTGGCAGTCTGCATATTTAAGATTCAACTCTGTGTATATGGGGCGGATGGGTAGAAATGCACAATATGTGTGGTATGTATAGTGTATGTACTGTACATTGGTATGTCATGGAAATTATACGCACACCGTTGTCTGTTTCAATTAAATAAAAACAAAGTTATTGGAACAGCTGAATTTTATTTGAGGTGACTCAGGGGTGCTTTAAAATGTTCTAGGTGTGTGCAATTCTGAATATAGCCACCTCAGTTATAAGAAGGGTGTGCTCACTTGTGCAACCGCATTCCCAGTTGTTTTTTTTTATTTACCCTCTTGAAAGTAGTTGGGAGTTTTTTCTTTTGTTTGTTTGTTTGTTTTTTTCAGTACAGGTTGTCGGCCGGTAATGCTGGAAAAAGTTTGCATCTGATTGATCTTGATCTCGTATAATTGTAGCTTAAAACCTGGAATTCAGGGGTGTGTAGACTTTTTATATACACTGTTGTTTCAGTACGTATTCTGTGTATTCATTTCAGATTGCTGCTATTGATGGATAATTTATCTTTGGTAATGGTGAAGGATTTAGGATTTTTCAGCGTGGGATATTTTTAATGTCCTGTTTTTTTTGGGGGGGGGGTGTTGGGGGTTGTATTGCATGTTTCGAGAAGAGTAAAAAATATGCAGATTTGTACAGCTGTCGTCAGTTAGATTTCCTTAGAATAGTCATGGACTAACCAGCGGGGTCCTTGATGAGGACTTCCAGTGTTTCATCCTTGGCCACTTTAAAGGGCCGGTTTTTGGTGTCTTTGGTCTCGTACGGAGCCACGCAGCGGTACGTCTCGGTGACAAACGGGGGAGTGACGGAGCCAACTCCTCCACCCCAGACGCGACCTCCTCCTCCTCCTCCTCCACCTCCTCCTCTAGCCGAGCTATCATCTGGCAGCAGGATCATGACGCTGAGTGGCACAAAGGTTAGTGTGACAATTTGTCTCTCCGTCGCCGCTGGCGAATCGTTGAGGAGAAATCTACCAGTTCTTGGTGAAGTCCGGCACCATGTCTTGGTCGAGTGGCGTGAAAAATTGCGTGACCTCTGAACCGCGGGTCACCATTTCGTGACACATGAGAAGCTTGTCGCAGTAGCCCTGCAAGTCCTTCATCCTCTGGATTGATCGTTTTGATCCACTTTGCTGGAGGCCCTTTTTTTGAGCCTCCACTGAGGAGAGGACATGGATTCAGTCACTTCAGAATGTTCGGTGCAGCTGAACTTTAACATCGGCAGCGATTCTTTTCACGTCCCTCAAGCGCAAGCCCGCGTACAATTACCTTTAAATTTTGGGATCATTCTGCTGTTATTTTGTGAAGGGTCGAAGACGGGAAACTTCTTCTTCAATTGCTTCTGTTGGGGGGGGGGAAGAGTTTTTTTAATTTACATATTAAAATCATTTCCAAAAAAAAGAAATACAAGAAAAAAAACTTACATGAAAGTTCTTGAAATCATTATAAGACCTGTAGACAATCACTTCATTCTCATCTGACCACAGCACGGATATCATGAACATCTGGAAACCACGGCCCCCACACAAAAAAAAATAAAATTATCGATCCAAATGCATATTTTGACATTACAAACTTAAAATTGGAGCTTTGCACTCACCTTCAGTTTTGGTGTCTCCCTGTGCATGGCTCCAATAAAGCGAGCGGAGAACACAAAGCGCGTTTCTGCAGGCATCTTGCTCCGCTTGGTTCGTCACTTTGGTGGGAGTGGGGGATGCAGGGTGGAGGCGCAAACTGTGAACACCGTTCGCTGCGCTCATGCAGTGCCGCTGTGCCGCGGCCTCTTGAAATAGTCGTGCGTCTAGTGGGCGGAGTCACAGCCGCAGGGACTTGGCAGGCTTCCTGCAGTCATACGTGGGAGACTCGATGTGCACTGTACGTGCTTAGTGACAGATACTCAATTAGATGTCCTTAGTATTGTTTTATTTTGTAGTTTGGATATGATTGAGATAGATAGATAGATAGATAGGCAGATAGGTAGATAGGTAGATAGATAGATAGATGGAGCTCAAATTTTAAAAATGCTTGTGTTAGTTTGAATTTGTCGTTCAGCTATTCAAAGTGCGCCAAAAATGGCACAAGGCGAGGGTTTTTTTTTTTTTTTTGTGGGCCGTACAATTTGGGCATTTAGGTCACAGTGAGCAGTGTGCATGGATGGTGATACATTGACATAATTGATGACAGCGATTTGGGTGGAAGCGTCCAAATCTCTACCTTTGGGCAGATTCATACCTTATATTGAATACTGTACACGTCTCCATGTAAGTCACAGAAATCGCTTTTTTTTTCTCCCCCCCACAATTCAAACTAACATGAACGAGAAAGTAATCAATGACGTCTAAATTCCAGCCCCCGGTCTTCACCGAGATGTCAGAGACGATGAGCCATTCTGCTTCCTTCAGAAGAGCAGCAAGAAATAACGTGACCACCTCAGAGTTCAGGAAAGTAGAAGGGCACGTTGAAGCCGTTACGGCAAATACCTGAGCAATAATACCTCAGCAAAAAAATCATGCAAAAGTAGTCAGTGTATTATGTTGTCATAGTGTTTAAATTGCATCATGAGATAAGAACCATGAAGGGTGCTGGCCGAACCTTCCCTGACGAATCGCCCGGAAATAACCACTCCCAGATCATCCTCTCCACATATTTGCCCCTGTAAAACATCTGATCATGCAGTGAATGACTGTTTCACTTTCTGCTTATCTTAAACGGTCATTGTCATGATACTCTAAGAGAGGTATGGCTTTATCAATGTGTTTATAATTGCCCGTGTAGAACTGCACCGCGCCAAACTGAGAAGTATCATATTTAGACATCCTTCTTAATCTGCGATCATCTCATTTCATCTAGACAGACACCTTTGCCCGAAATGTAATACCATATGATCTTCATTTCAAGTTTAAAATCGGTTGCGCAACACACGTTGGGTAATGATTTACAACCATGCGACATACCCGCGACAGCCGCAAAATTTGAAGAGCTCATTAAAAGCATTGCGTGTACATAAGTGTACAGACAGAAATGCTCCAGAGCCCGTAATTAGAAATGAAATTCATTCCGTGAGGAGGAATGTTCCCTTTTGTGTGCGTGAGCGCGCGTGTGTGGATAGAAAGACGGATAGATGCTGTTTCAAAAGTGACGCACTGCATGGGCTCCAAAATGCCTCGTGAACAGAAAGAAAATCGGTAGTGTTGATACAAACTGAATCCAAATCTTCGACTGTTGCCGTAAGAGTTGGTCTTTTGGTTCCTACGCCAAATTCAAACCACTTGTATCCAAAGAGGGAGGGGAGGGGGTGGGGTGGGGGCATGCCCCTTTCTGTCAGCTGTTTTTCGTTCTATAATTACTTGAAGGATTCCTGGATTCCCAACTGCATGATTGAATTTGTGCACGTGCGGTCACTTCAGACTAGTCATGCGGCAGCAATATTTCTTATCAGCAACCCGCAGAGCTCTTGCTAATGTGACTCTGTGTGTGTGTGCGTGTGCGTGTGCGTGTGTGTGTGTGTGTGAGAGAGAGAGAGAGAGAGAGAGAGAGAGAGAGGGACACTAGCAGGTGTCTCTTCAAAGACACTCTGAAAAAGTCCCAACTCTTGAGTGGGGTTATCTCAAACACTCATTAGAGTGTGTGAGTGTGCAGTTCCTGTATGAAGCGATGCCAGGATTTCTTCTGATTGACACAAACGCAAATACACACACACACACACACACACACACACACACACACACACACACACACACACAAAGCATCCATCTTCAGATGGCACCAGCGGGGGGAGAAGGGCAGTAGTGTCCGTCCAACTTTGTGTGTCGAAGATGTCAACACCTCAGTTCAAGAGCCACGTGCGGTCTCACACATTGAGCAAGGCGCACATGATGGGAGTTTTTTTGGCGGGGGTTCTCGGTATGTTAGCACACAAGGAAGCAAAAAGCAAGGCAGTATAATACACTAAAACAAACAACCTCTCACCTGGACAGTGATGGGTGGGCGGGCCATGCATTTGTCACCTGAACCTTCCGTGGTGGACTTGCCCAATTTAACACGAACATGTTGCAATTATAGACATTATTTAAAACAAACCAATATGAAAAATGATATAATATTATGAATGAATTATGAAGCAGCACTTACAGTTGCATGCTAAGCGATGTTTGGTCACACCATCATTAACATTAAGAGCTATGCAGCAATTCCGAATTTTTTTTTGACGTTTTTTTTTGAAAGGCCTTACACAGTCATTCAATTACTCGCTTCGTTTCGATAAAAATATCCATCCCCATTCCTGTTTAAGGTTATTAGTTCTTGGCCGCTGTGTGATGTAACCTTCCGACATTTATTCCGACCGCAATCCTGTTCACTCATTGTCATGACAAGGAACTATATGAAACATGTCACACTGGAAAGGAAAGGTGTCACTGTAATCTGAGTTCTCCAGGTAATAGCGCTAATTATGCAATTTTTTTAAACAAGCATAAATTAAACATCATCGTCATTAGATTTCTATTTTAGTGGAATTAATTACCACAGCTTTGAGTCTTTGGAGAAAATCGAAGTCCTCCCCCGACCCCCAAGGATAATCCCCATGGTATAATTTTTGCATGATTTGTCCGGCTTTCACAAGCACCTCTTTGTCTGTGCAGGTGCACGCCGTTTATTTCATTTAAATCCGTCCGCTCGACATGTGCAATGAAATATGAATGTCAAGTCCCCACAAATTGAGGAAAACCAGCACGGGGTATGACCAAAACATTCTTCTACATCAGTATAAGCGTCCAAAATAAATCTGGATTCGGTGTGGCTCCGGTGGTACAATAGTTGGGTGGTTCAATCCTGAGCCCTTGAGCAAGACGCCAAATTCCCCCAGCACTCCCGATGTCAACAGTGGGTGAATGAGGAAACGGTGTAAATGCTCCTAAAGCATCTTAAAGGAAGAAAAGGTCTGTAGAAGTGAAAGCCAATGCCCTAATCTCTCTTTTTTTTTTTTTTTTTTCTCTCAAATCTCATTGGCATTTGACCAGTGACTCAACCCAAAAGCCAAACAAGGAAGCGGGAGAAGGAAGCAGCATTGCCTTTATTTTTTTCTTCTCACAAGGAAGGACATCTGCGTTTAATCCTAACATAGTTCTCTATGAAAACCAAACGGATTAAATCAACAAAACCCATTACATTTTCTGTCAAAGATATATCCTCGTCATTTTTAATTGTCATAGTCCCAACAAAGGCCCTTGATTGAAAATTCTCGTGTAAAGAAAGAGGTGGAGTGCGTGCAATGACACCGGGTAATAGACAACCTATCACTAAGTGTAAATGTATAGCCACTGCCGGGAAAACACAATGCTTGTCTCACACACACACACACACACACACACACACACACACACACACACACACACACACACACACAAAAGAAAAAAACACAAAGAGCACACAAAAGAAATGACGAAATTAGCAGAACGTGGGCAGCTCCTCATTCTCCCCATCCAAAGCAAAGTGCTTCTCCTAACTGACTGATGATAATGAAAAGACATTATTTTAATAAAGGACTCAACAGGAGGCCAAAAAAATAACCTCATGCAAACAGAGACGTTTTCCTTTTTGTGTGTGTGTGCGTGCGTGCGTGTGTTTTTCTAGGAGTAAAACTTTTTTTTGTGTGTGTATCAGAGTTTTTGGGTGGATGAGAGGTGTTTTTAGTGCCGTGCAAGCTTTTTGGTTGTGTTAGAAATGTTTGCCAAGTATGAATATTTTCGAGTGTGAGAGTTGTTTTGTGTGGGAGTTTTTTTGGCTGCGTTTGAGATATTTATGTGAGGAGATGTTTTTTTTTGTTGGACGTGAAATATTTTGGTTGTCAGAGGTTTTTGGTGAATGTTTTTTTTTTCTCTTGTTTTTTTTTTTGTATGTGAAAGTTATTTGGTGTGTGATAGTTGTTGCTCTGTTGACAAGTTTTTTTGGGGGGGTTAACTATGTGTGTGGGAGAGTTTTTGGGTAGCATTTTTGGTAGTTTGACAGTTTTTTTGTAGTGTGTGTAAGAGATATGTTAAAAAGATTTTGGGGGGATCAAGCTAATAGGTTTTAGATGAGGTTTTTCTTTTTTGGGAGGTTGTATGCACCTTGTGAAGCTTATATTTTGTAACCATTCGCTCATTATTCGCTCATTATATAACACACTTGAGTAGCACATTACGTGTACATGTTCTGAATCACCCCAGGCATCGTTCCAGTCTGACACAAACATGCCTGTGCCGAAAGTGGATCATAAACATGGAATGCTAAAAGGTAACCTAAATGCACCATGTCGCCACAAAGACAGTCCAAAGAATGAGAGACCTTTTCCTCTGTCACCAAATGTTTACTTTGCACTTTGCGAGTTTCCAATGATGAAGAGCGGGGACTTTTGGAGCTTGAGCAACCACGAAATTGGCTCTCAAGACTGTAATGCTCAGCTTTCCTTCATTAAAACCAGTAAAAAAAAAAAGTGTGGGGGGGGGGGATGTTGAGGTGCAGTCGTTTGTAAAGAAGGAGAAGAGCAGCGGCGAGAGGACAGATCCTTGGGGGGCTCCCTGTACTAATGGTGCGTGTTGATGAAGTTGGGCCCCGCGGCCTCAACTGCTGTGTCAGGAATCTGTAGCTCCACTGGCAGATGGCAAGGGTGAAATTTGAGTTCATATATCAATTTTGCTGTTCAATATTTCAGTTACAGCAGCTTCATTTCATATCATTTCCCCAAGGTTGTGCGTGCATGATGGATGTAGTTCCTGAGACTTAAGAGGCTTTCT